TCTAAGTACTAACCTGATATGTCCAGAAAGCCAGTGCTCGGGAGCTAATGTCTAACACAATCTCTGGTCGCAGCCCTGCCAACACCATAGCTTTATATTCCTCTGAAGGACTGAGTTCAGTGCGGACAATATCCAGCTTTCCAGAAAGGGTACTGTTGCAGGCAGGGCAGATAGCTGGTGAACGACTAAATTCACCACTGCCATGCTGATCACAGAAGATATGAGAACAGGCAGTGACCCAGGCATAACCGGAGAGTTTGATGCGACACTTTCGATAATTACAAAGCAACATGTCTTCACACAAAGACATGTTAATGAGATCTCCAGAAGTTGAAGTCCTGATAAATGAAAAGGTAAATAAGGCACAATGAAAATAAAATTGTTTAATTACTTAATAACAAGTAAAAGATAAATACATTGTTCGACTTTGTTTTGATAAAATGTACATGTTATTGGTTTTTATTTATTATAATCGATATGATATATTGACTTGAGTCTCCCAATAATACTGTGCTCCTTCTTTGTACAAAGGCCATGAAAAAAAATGTAAAGAAAAATTAAATGCACAAGTGATACTAAATCTTACTAAGATCAAAAATAATATGTATATGGAAAAAACTTTAGAAACATAGCCAAAGTACAAACAAGTAAAATTTACATCAGTGCTTTTTGTCATTCTTCAATACCTAAACCAAAATTCAAATTTATTATCTACTCATACTTTGGCAAAATATGTTAGTACCACATCCCACACTTCGCAAACCTAAAAATCCAGGCACAATTTCAGATATTTTGCAGTGCAAAGTATTTGAAGCTACATTTTTAGGTTTTTTCATACATGCTGATTTCTTAATCAGATTCCTTACCTGTGTTACTTTGATTACAAACACTAACTGGAAAAGGAAAAAAAAAAAAAAAACACTAGCTACCTGTTTGCATAAAATAGAAACTAACCTAATAATTGACCCTTATAAAGCCTGAAAATTTATACTAAAGCTGCTTTTGAGTGAACTTTTTATCAGTTAAATAATCCATCTATTAATGAAAAAACTGTTCAATGCTATGCTTTGATTTAAAACATTTGTAAGAATAAATCAATTCTCTAGATTAATTTACTTTTCAATAAAGTAAAATTCTCTCTGGAATTTGACTAACCCAAAAATGGACACCAATATTTTAAGCACACCAAAACAAATCCCATATTACATAAAATAACTCTGGCACATCAATTACACCTAGGAAAAGTATACACGTTATCAACTGACAATTCTGCAAAGAACGTTTCCTTGGTCAGAGACATTCCAACACTTCCATCCCAAATGTCCTCAATGAGGACAATGATGTCACTTAGCAGCCAATAAGGACTATTTTACCCTCCACCTGGGTAACCAGCAAAGGGGAAGCAGAATATATGGGAAGTTTTGAAGCTGAGACCCTTTCCAGGCAAAGCCAGAGATGCAGCTAATTCCAAATTTTCCCCAAGAAGGGGAGTAGAGAGCTATTACTATGGGCTGTACAAGTTGAGGGCCAAATTTCTGAGAATTAAACCTATGGAAATTTCACTCTGGAATTTTCAGCCTCCTCTCTGCACTCGACAGAGAAAACAGTAATGATAATAAAAACAACAAAGAGAACACAAATACAACCTGAGAGGCAATGAAAAAGAGCGGGAAAAAAAACACCACCTGTTCAGCTGCAGCTGAGGCGAGGATTCGCACCGTCTCCGCTGTAGAGTGCGCATGCGCGCAGTCGCCCCGAGGCCTGCTGGGTGGCGGGCTTGGAGATGGGGCCGCTCAGGATCATGGGATCCACGGGCCCTACCTACCAGTCCAACGCCAGGGGAAGTGCGCAAGAGCTCAAGTCCAACCAACCCCATAGGTTTCCCACTTCCAAAACAGGTGGCTGTCAACACTTGGTGCAACTCCTATTGAGGGGAAAGTGTCCTGAAGCTAAAGTGGGCGGGTAGAAGAGCCAGTTGGAGCCCCTGTCTCTGGTACAAGGAGTTGTCTGTCCTAGATAATGATGGGAGTTGCGGGCAAGCAGCACAAAGTATGTTTGTGGAATTCCCAAAGATTGTTTTGCCCATGCCCGTAATTGGACCACTATCACTTTTATGCAGAAGATTCTGCCATTTTATTTTTGTTGTCCTTCTTCAAATATAAATTTTCCCAGCTGTTATGTATCTATCTATATGTGTGTGTATGTATGTATGTATGTGTGTGTGTATGTGTGTGTGCAAATATATACTTTTTTTAAAGAAATCATAATTTTTTTCCTTGAGTCTACATTACAATCATTTATATAGTGCTTAAAATTAAGTGATAGGACTGGCAGTGTCATGAACTTTGAGGTAATCTGATATGCACTCCTGGAACTGCTGGTATCTGTTTTTACTTTAATGTCTCTCTCACCTGTCAATTTTCTTGGCTTTTTTATAACAATGTAATTTTCTGCTTAATCTACATGAGCCAGTTACAATTGAGATTTAAAATTAGACTGGAGGCTAAGACAAGAGGATTCCAAGTTCAAAGCCAACCTCAGCAAAAGCAAGGCTGCTTAGCAACTCAGTGAGACCCTGTCTCTAAATAAAATACAAAATACAGCTGCGGATGTGGCTCAGTGGCCCAGTGCTCCTGAGTTCAATCCCCATTAGCCAAAAAATAAAAATAAAATTGGATTGAAGAAAAGGGCTAGAAGGGTGCTCAAGATGCAAACTCTAATGCTGTCTTTTGTAGCCACCTTTTCAGATTACATGACCTAATTATGAATTAGTAATTAGATATAGTGCACCACACAATGGACACAAAACTCTGCAAACCCCTTTCTGACTTGCAAATCCATAATACTGAACCTCTCCTTCAAACAAAAACCTGTCCTAAGTAAGCAACTTTCTGCTAGGAATTTAATGTTACTGGCACAAATTGGAGTCAGAGAAAATTGGGAGTTCATGTGTAAACCATGTATTCCTTAATTTTTTGCTAATTAAGCAGTTTGTGCTTTTTTAAGTTTTAACTGTACCAAATGCAGAATGATTAAAGTACAAAAATGGTACATGATTCCATTTGAAGTTCAAAAAGACAAAGCATTGAGATTTCAACCAGTGACTAACTTTGTGATCCTAAACAAGTTACCTTCATAATATAATCTCTTCCTGCATATGTATCCCAATTAATACATACTTTGTGTTAATTCATTTTAATAGTCACATACTACAAATATACCAATTTATATATTCTTCTAATGGACATTCATTCCAGGTTACAATTAAAACCAGCACTACACTGAACCTTCTGAACATTTCTCCTTGAGTACACATGCCAAAAAATTTTATAGAATATAATACCCAGGGACTAGGTTAACATATAAGCATCTTTGAATAAATCAGATGTTACCAAATCACTGTCCAAAGCAATAATATAGATTTCACTGCCACCAGCAAAATATATAAGAACCCACTGCTCCAGAATCAGCAACATACAGAATTATCAGGATTCTTTCTTGTTTTGTTTTGTCTTTTCATGTTTGTCCATCTGATACCAGGAAAATAGTAATTAAATGTTGTTTTAATGAGCGATTCTTTGATTACTTATGAGGTTGAACATATTTTCATATAAGTGACTACATAAAGATCCTCATCTGTAAATTTCATGTTCATATTCTTTGATAATTTTTAAAATATTTTTAATATCTTTATTTTATTTATTTTATGTGATGCTGAGGATCAAACCCAGTGCCTCATGTGCGAGAGGCAAATACTCTACCACTGAGCCACAACCCCAGCCCAATATTTTTCTTGATTTATATTAAGACAGTTATGTGGCATGCAAATATGTTTGAATTTTAGTGTACATAAATTTATCAACTTTTCCTTTTATGTTTGTCTTATTCTATACTTTCAGTAGTTGTCTTGTTTTTCATATGCAAATCTTTAATTCATCCTTCCTACCATAAATATTCAATGTTTTCAATAGTTTTAAGGTTTTACTTTTCATATATACATCTTTAATACATACTTTCTAACACAGGAAGTCTGAATAACAGTAAGAGTTGTAAAAGGAAAAGTGGCCACATCATTCAAGAAAACAAACATTCCAACCTTGGTCTTTCATAGAAATGGTAGCTTAGTTAAATTTCAAGGTTATTTTTAACATGCAAGTGATACAATACACAACAAAATATTGGAAATGATGTATTTCATCTGCTTTTAGAATGAGATTTCATAGTTAATACTGACTACACAAAACAAAACCAACTCAGAATAAAGCAGGAGATGTATTCTAGTGGTAGTACATATTTAGCATGCAAAAGTTCTGGGTCCAATCCCCAGTGCATGTGTGCTCGCACGCACGAACTACTCATAATAAAATTATAGGTAAGAAAAAATTTGTGTGAGACTCTATTTACCAAAGCAATCTAGAGATACTACTAAGAAGGAAAAAAACAATAGGTTTCAAGTGGTAGCTGTGCTCAACTTGATCAGAGAAGTAAATGATTATTTTGATACTTTTTTTATAGCCAAAACCTTAGAATTTCAACAGAAAAGTTTGAACACCTTGAAAACATGCTTCTTGGTGGGTTTTTGTTTGTTTGTTTGTTTTGTTTTGTTTTTGGTGGGGGGAGTAGTTTTGTTTGGGTTTGGTTCTTTACTTGTTGGCTGGTTTTTGCTTTTGAGACAGGGTCTCACTATGTTGTTGACGCTGGCCTTGAACTCCTGGGCTCAAATGATCCTCCTGCCTTGACCTCCCAAAGTAACTAGGATATAGCACCACCACATCCAGCTTTTTCTTTTATTTCTCTCTTTAGTGATTTAAGTCAACTGTTTTCTGTTTTTATATAAACTAGTAAGTGTTCATGAGTCATATATTATTCATGAAGAACATTGATTTCTAAGCTCTGACAGCACAATTTGTGCTTACACATCATTTACATAATTTAATCGCCTGTTAATTTTCACCTTTCAAAAATGTTATTTTGGAAATTAATTGATGTGAAAATAAACTTAGGATCCCCGATGGAAGCCAGAGGGAGGCAGCATTCTGTGTTGCTCCATGACCTGGGATTCAAATAGTGACAATACTGCTTCTCTGCTATCGATATTCCTGCTCCTGTGCAGGAATCATTGTACTGGTCCAGAGCTCCAGGTCTCCGTGTCAGAGTAGGTCTCCAACTACTAGTCCATGCAGAACTACCAGGTACCCCAGCGAGATCATCCGTAGCAGGAGCACCCCTGAAGAACTTTCGGCGACCCGCCTGAGCAGAAATCACAGACGCCACTCCCATGCAGGACACTGGCAGCAAGAATAGGAACTCCAGCTGTCGCCCCTGGGTGGACCCCCATCTACTAATATAAGGCTACCCAGTCGCCACCATCTTGGGATTCTGCAATAGCAGAGTGCAGTTCTCGGGTGCCTACACCCGAGAACCTTACCCAAGCTCTGAAGTCAGCCAACAGCCTCACACTGCAGCCACAGAGCTCGTGTCTGAACTCACATCCCAACGCCATCACATAGCTGCCCCCACCCGATCAGACACCCTATCATTGAAAGCAGGCACCTCCATCTTGGGCCACCTTCATCAGTGGGGACAACTCCCAGTTTGGAACTCCAGCTGGCCAGGTACCCAGTTTCTAACCGCCCCCTTCTCCCCAGCAGCCAAAACCCCCAGCACAGTGACATCCTGGTTATCTTTACCATCCTGAAGTCAAAGATACCAGCTAACAACAGATGACCCTACCTATTAGAAGCAGAAAAGATAATGATCTCCAACCAAAACAATATCTGTTTCTTCTTCAAGATTTTTTTTCCCTTTCCTTCTGTATTCTCCTGACCTCACATCACCAACATATGTATAATCAAGTACTTTG